ACTACTACTACTACTACTACTACTACTACTACTACTACTACTACTAACAATGACATATAAGCAAAATAATAAATGAGTGCCCATGCAAAGGACATTTTAATTACTTTTCCTTTATTGATAGTTCAGTTTTAGAAAAATCTGAAGAACCCAACACCCTGAGGAAAAATACCTGTTCTGTAGTGTATCAGGGCCCTTACGTCTTGTGGATATTTACAACTAATTATTGAATAAAAGTAATCAGCTACCGCAAGCTGACTTGATTTCATGTTTGGAAAGTGTGGTTTTCATTAAGTGATATATATGTGTATAATATAGACTTATGTATATATATATATATATATATATATATATATATATAAAGATGTTTTAACCCTATTTGAAGGTCGTGTTTTATTATCGTATCCATACGACGAGGGGAACATTGTTCCACCAATTTCCAAAGAGGAAATTTACTCGTTAATTCGAACCGTACGCTTTGCATGACAGTCTGTCAAAATGATTTTTTGAGAAATACTGAAAGTTTCAGAGAGATCTTCGTACTTGAAGTATTCTAAAATAGGAAGAATACAACCATGGAGGTACAAAATGATCCCAGGGCGTACGGATAGGGTTAAACCAACATACACTGATGTTTGTAGTTGTGAAGCCCTTCTTTGTTTCGGCACTGACACGACCTGTGTTCGAATATCTTGGTACAGGAGACTGGTTGGGGGTGGGGTTGGGGGTGGTTTGGGCAAAAATTCTATCAAGTATCTAGGTCTTCCTTTAGGGAAGCTGTATCCTTCTCACTCAGATAATAAGCCCGAACCGGAATGGCCAACGTTCACCTTCTAGATAATCTAAATTATATCGATGGTGGCCAAACGCCTAAGAAAGAAAGAATCAATATAATATTATGTCACACCAGCTATTTCACAGTCAGGGGTGCGTTTTCTCGGAAGTTGAGTCTCCCCAGTCTGCACCAACACATCTTGATCAACTGCATCTAACAACTCACATTCCCTCAGGAACCCAAACGTTTTACATCAAGTGGAATCTCCTTCAAGTCCAAACAAAATTCTCACCGGGGTCAGTTTTGCCGCTTTGGAGTTTCATTCAGGAGACCCGAGTTTGTTTTCTCGAGTGGGGAGAAAGTTTCTATCGAGTACTCAATCTTCCTAAGGATGCTGTATTCCTCTCAAACAAGTTGGTTCTGACAGGCAAAGTGGAAAACCCGTCTCCTAATTGATCTAAGTTATGTCGATGGGGGCGTTAAGATGCCTTCATTAAAGATTTGTTTTAAAATTTAAGGTCTCTGAAGTTGAAAGAAGTTCGCCCACTTTCGAGTAGCCATCAAGTGAGATTTTCTCGAACTTGACAGCTTAAGTTTACAGACGATGATTTACTCTAAATCCGGAGAAAATGCATTATAGTCTCAAAATACGGTGTTCATATTACAACTGACAAAATTGTGTGTTGGTGTTCTGTGTTGCATTGGATGATCTTCCCCCATACTCCCTTTACATTTACGTTCTATACGGGGCTTTACAGCAAATCATTATTCGCCTCTAATGCAAATAGGAAGAAATATGATCTGCCGTAAAGCTCCGTACACAGAGGAAAATATCCTCTCATCGCACGGTGAGGAATTATAACGTTACTTTGAGGTGAAGAGAGAATGAAGGGCGAAAATTGGATATTTCGTAGCCATGCAACAAGCAAAACTTCTCACGGAGTGAGTGGGGCCTAAAATAACCTTTTCCAAAGTGACTGAAATCGTAAAGAACGTTATTTAGTATGTTATTATTCTTCGACTGCTGGTTCTTTTATTCAGCTTTCTGGGCCTCTTTTTGTCCCCCGTCCCGGTAGACAATCTCACGCAAAGACACAAACAGCGCCTAAGAAATGTACAAGGCGAGGTTGCTTGTTAGTAATTATCGTACCCATTGTCGTACGGAATATTGCTGAGAGTTATTGACCACACTGCGTGCCCATATTGATCAAAGGACCGTCTGGGCGACTATATTGACCGTTTCCTGTTTTTTTTCTCTCTCTCTTTCTTTTTCTTTCTCTCTCTTTCTCTCTTCCTCTCTCTCTCTCTCTCGATTTTTCTCTCTTTTCTATCTGTCTTTCTATCTCCCCGTCTGTGTATGCACGTGCACTGTGTGTGTGTGTTTGTGTGTGTGTGTGTGTGTGTGTGTGTGTGTGTGTGTGTGTGCGTGAGAGAGAGAAAGAGAGAGAGAGGGAGAGATCCGCCCTCTCTCTCTCTCTCTCTCTCTCTCTCTCTCTCTCTCTCTCTCTCTCTCTCTCTCTCTCTCTCTCTCTTTTTTTCTCTCTCTCCCTCTCTCTCACGACGAGGTGTAATCAGGCGCTGGTCAATTTTTGGGTAAATAGTTATTGGTATCATCTTAAAGATTGTAAATTCTACTTGCATTTGATGAAAAAAACAAAACATTTATCTTGAATAGAAGTCGAGATATTAGCCATTACAGGAGATCGGGTCGCCTGGCTTCAGAAGTAAAATTAGAGAGAAAATGGTCGACAAATTTGGTGAATTCCATAGCTCAAAAGTCCTTTGCAACTGCAGACTTACATTTTTCTTGCCTTTAATCAACGTTTTTTCATAAAAATCCACCCTTAAGAATGTTTGTGAATGGACATACAAGGTACTGTGTAAAAAAACAAAGATTCGAAACAAAATTCCAAACTGGCCGAAAAATGCCGATTACTTCTCTTCTTTTACCTCCCCCCCCCTCTCTCTCTCTCTCTCTCTCTCTCTCTCTCTCTCTCTCTCTCTCTCTCATATGTTCCTTCCCATCTCTCGTCCCAATTCTCTTTCTCGACCCCCAATCCCCCATATCTAATCTCTTCCGATCCACTCTCTATCTCTTACTTCCACCCCCTATAATGTTCTCGTTCTCTACTCATTCCTCCCGCCCCCTCCTTTATTCCTTTCCTCACACCATCCATCCATGTGCCTGTCAGCTGTCTGTCTCCCGTACTCCATGGAGTGCCAGCACAGAGATATTCCCCTCCCGCACACAATAATTAGTTCTTCACGTTTGGGTGTCCGCGAGAATCTAGTCCTGAACCATCGACCCTGTTGTATTAGACACCTCCACTAGACCTTCTTATCCATAATGCATGTCGAAACTCCTGCAAGCAAACACGTTAAATAGCCAAGTAGACACACAGAGAAAGAACCAACATAATCCGTAATCCTCACTGGGACGTGCCTTTCCTTCCCTGCTTTTGGTAGAACTCGCGTCTCTTCGAAAAAAAAAAGTTTACGGCATCAGCAAACTCGTTTTTAAAACACAAATGTATACTCTCACAGAGTCTGAGTTTTGAGCCAAAGAAACGTAAGTTTTGTTCAATAAGACAAACAGCGACACAATAACGAACAGTTCTCTACAAATGGAACAAAAGTTAAACCCTCGAAACCCTCTTTGGTGCTACGGAAACAACAGAGTGAAACAGAAAAAGAATCTGCTGTGCGTACCCCTAACTCCCACCCTCTTTTTTATTTCTACCCCCCCCCCCCGGTCCCATTTTCGTTCACTCACACAATGTACCCGCTATGGATATTATACAGGAACACTACTCAGTCAAAGTAATACTTTGGGGGCCATATCATAGTTTGCGAGTTAGGAGGAGTAATCGCTTGTCTGTTCTGAGCTTGGACCTGTTGACTCTCATGGAAATACTTCACTTGTAAATGCTACAGTGTTGCAAAAGCTGAAATTTGATGAACGAGGTGATGGATTTCGACATTTTGAAAGTAACAAATACGTAAATTCGTATTTCCGACAATTCAGAACAATATTAGTGTGGCAGAAAGAGTGAGGAGCTCAGAGGAGGGGGGAGGGAGGGGGTGCAGACAATGGAGACGAAGGCAGATGACAGAATATCGTTTGAGGGTGTGAAACGAGGTGAAATAAGATCATTATAGAGAAGAAACTTTGTCGTTGCTGTCAGGTTTCGAACCCGTGGCGTGTTGAATGAGAGGCGAACACCGTACCTGTAGACAATGAGAGGGGGGGCTCTCGTGGCCTAGAGGTTAAGATGTTCGTCTCTCATTCAAAGGTCCCGGGTTCGAATCCTGCTAGCGACGGAAACAGTTTCTTCTCTAAAATTATCTCCTTTCACCTCCTTTCACGCTCTCTAGCAATGCTCTGTTGTTTGCTTTCGTTTCCACTTTGTACCCCCACCCCCTCACCTCCTTTGCCCCCTCCCCTGGGCTCCTGACTCTTTTTGCAGCCTTTCTACTGCTTCTCCTTGGCTCTTTCTTACTGCTGTCTTTCAGCCTCACTCTTTGTCTTCTCGTAGGAAAGATCTACGTCTAGCCTTCTCGGACAAGGGCGAAAAATCTCGCATTGGCGGTCTAAAATCGATAAGAGTAGGCGTGGGCCGCCACCCGGGCAAAATTCAAAATTTCCTACAAACTGAAAATGTTTAATGTGTCCCGCGCGCTCATATGACCTTAAGCACTTACAACAACAACAAAAAAAGACCATGAGAGCCCCCTCTGCTCTGTGTGACGCGACCAAACTCCTACCTCGCCCCAGAAGAGATCGGTGCTTTTTATTTCTTTATAATAGTTTTAAAAATCATTAAAACCTTTTCTATTTGCCCAACGCCTTCACCACTGTTTTTCCCCTGAACAAGAAGTTCAAGGTCTTCACAACAATTTTAGTTCCATTTGAGATGCATCAGTCTCTTCCTGATTTGTTTTAATAGCGGCCGTCCCAGGTAATTTCTTTCAGTTTCGATAATATTATGATTAATCTTGTCCATTGCTCACCGCTTGGCAGCCCAGCTTCACCATGTTATCTTTGTGGAAGTATGAAAACTCTCCACCGTTGCAATTAATATGGGACGGATTTTATACTTTAAAAACTTTTACGCTTGGTCTAAATTGTTATTTTCCTTTTTGTTTTTATTGTGTTTTATCTGTTTATTTGTATGTTGTTGTCGTCTTTTGTTCAAAATGTTTAATAAATAAAATTATTTCTCCACAGTTTGCAGCGTTTTTTACATTCTCTTGGACATTCGGCGCTCTACTGTGCAAGGGTGTCCACTACCTTCAGAATGTATCATCATTGTGTTCTGTCCTTACACTGACTACCATGAGCCTAGAGAGGTGAGTCTCTGCTTTTTTTCTTCGAGATCGTTATAAAAAAATTAAGGTCTCCAGGTGATAAAGACAACCAAGGTACCTTCTATTCTTATGTTGTCTTAGTTTATCTTATTCTAAAAATGCAAAAAGCTGTGGTTTAACAGCAGCTTAAGGTCAACTTATCTTTATAAAATCCCCCACAAAGATTTCAACACTGTTTTTCAATGAGTGCATAATGCTTTTTATCTCAGAGTTTTATCATCCTTAAACATTCGGTGGTGTCATGAATCATTAATATTTTTTGCTAGTTACATACATTCAGACCAAGAATCTGTATGCCACCAAGCACCCTCTCTCTCTCTCTCTCTCTCTCTCTCTCTCTCTCTCTCTCTCTCGATCGCTTTCTCTCCTAATTCCCCTAAACGTAGACATACTTCATTGCTCGTACTTTTATATGATTAATTTTCAACCTCCCTACGAAATAGAACAATATACTGCAGAAAATACTAAGCAGTTAAACAACAAAACATCCCCACACCGAACACGTTAGAAACTGCAGATATTAGAACAGATGAGGGGATAATATAGTATGTTTATTCAACTCCACCGAATGTCTGTCTGCGAGGAGCACAATCTCTATTTCTGTGAGACGAGAATCAAGATTTGGATCCCCCCCTCCCCCGGTAATGCAACGATAGATAGATAGATAGATAGATAGATAGATAGATAGATAGATAGATAGATAGATAGATAGATAGATAGATAGATAGATAGATAGTGAGATAGATAGATAGATAGAGAGAGAGAGAGAGAGAGAGAGAGAGAGAGAGATAGATAGCTCAAATCTTCCCAGTAACACAAATGCGTGGAATGATAGAGGAGAGAGTTGCGTGGTCCTTATCTCATTCTGGCTTGTTGAGGACCTCGCCTATGGCGATTGGCCAAAAGGCGGGTCTCGTGTCCTTCACAGGATGCTTCACGATGCCCAGCGGCTATCTAATTACCCTTTTCCAGCTTTTTATAATTGAAACTGTTTTATACAAAAGAGACGAAAACAAATATTTTGTTTGAACTTGTGGCCTTTTTCGGGTTGAACTAGAACAATAAAAAAAAAAGAAAGAAAGAAACGTTTTGAGAATACTTTAATAGAAAGATCTGCAAGCGACACTAGAAGCAATCGACACGCGCACAGATGAAAAAAGATAGCCGTTTAAAAAATATGGAGGAAAATGACAAGGTCAAATTACTTGCCTCCTACTCCCCCACCCTACCGCTTGCACCTCAGAAAAGAAACTAACAGAAACAAACAATAAAACGTGAGGCAGCGTGGTGAAATCAGGCTATCGTCAAAATAATCAAAGTGAAGAAACTTGCATTTTTCCGCAGGTTCGTGAATTTTTATCAAATTTTTGATTTTTGGCTCAACACCTTTCATGCCCAAGAAAGAACTCATTTCTGTGTTGATTTTTCTGAAAAGCGTATATTAAAGGCACAAAAATGTAAATTTTCAGTTACCACGGACTCTTAAGCTAAGGAAATAAATACATTTTGGCGGCCATTTTCTCACTAATTTTACCTCTGAAAGTAAGTGAACCCCGCCTCCTTCTTTCGCAAATATCTCGACCTGTATTCAAGATAAATGGATATTTTTTTCATCCATATAAAGACAAGTAAACAAGCTTTAAGATGATACCAATAACTCTACAAGCCCAAAAATTGACGAGAGCCTGATTCCACCACGCTGCCTCACAAATAACAAATAAAGGAGGCAGAAAACCAAAGCTAAACAAAAAGATTCGCAATTACGTCACGTAAGCCAGTATCACATACAAAATAATGAAACGAAGCTTGAATCGAATATAATAATTATACACAATACATAACAATACGTCGCATTTTTCTGTGCGAACCCCCCCCCCCCCAAAAAAAAAAAAAAAAAAACCCCTAATAAAACCACAAAACCACCTATTTAACACAGCAAGGATGAAGAGACACATCAATTAATGTGTCACGACGCGATCGAATCAGGCGCTCGTCTATTTTTGGGCAAGCGGGGTTATTGATATAATATATATTTTAAGCTTGTTCAATTTTCTGTCTTTTTATAAGAAAAAACACTCATCTATCTTGAATATAAGTCGAGATATTTGTGATCGAAGGAGGTGGGGGTTGCCTGGTTTCACAGGTAAAATTAACGAGAAAATGGTCGCCAAAGTTCGATGACTTCCAAAGCTTGAGATTCTTTGGAAACAGAGGGTCTGCAATTTTTGTGCCTTTAATTAGCTTTTTTCGGTAAAATCCATACAGAAATTCATTTTCAAACTGACTTAGAAAATGTTGAGTAAACAAAAATTTGAGAAACGTGTCCAAACTGGCAGAAAAATGCCACATTTTTCAGTTTCACCACGATTTTACCAGGATGCCCCGCAATAACATAAAGCGTCCAGGAAGAGCAATGTCTACCACACAGACGTCATTACCGAAAAAAGTTCAAAGGAAGTGGCCGACAACAAGAAATTACCAAAATAATGCCAGTCAGAGATTAGTAACACGATCTGGTTGAAATCGAAATTCAAATTAGGATTTTTGTAAGACTTTCAATGACGTTTTAACACAAATGCAAGTCAGCGTTAAAAGAACCAAGAAGAATTACTTTTTCCTTTTTTATGCAATTGTTTGAATCCTTTTGCGATTTAAATTTCAATTGTGAGATATAACAATACAACAATAAAAAAGGGTGGTAATTCAAATGTTCTATTCGTATGATAATATGTATACATATCTATTACTCGACATACGTCAGCGGCAGGCAATGAGAATACGCTCATGTTGCAGAGATTAGCAACAGATCAGATGAGGCATTGCATTTACTTTGAACAGAATGGCATTACTCGTTATAATATTATGTTGTAAGCCAATTCTGTGCCAAGTTGGAGTGTTTATGTTGACTGCTATCTCAGTCTGTTTGCTGCAATGCCACCTCCCTTTCAGCTCACTTTAGGTATCGCAATCACCGCCGAGGCATCCGGCATCCAAAACAGTCTAATATAATACTTGACGGGGAAATTAAGTTTTGATCTCCTTCCTAGTCTTGATAAATGGAAAATGTTATGAGATCTACACGACGCCTTAATACGTTTTTATTTGACATTTGGGTAGATGTACGGCTGAATGAAAAATCATTTCGACAAATTGGTTTTAGAGTGACTTAGCTCTCGGCACAACTACTGATGAATGTTATTACGGGAGACTCGGGTAATCAAAGAAAAATAAATAAACAAGGTGTTAGGCTCAACGTGAAGGTTCACATGTAGAATCAAATCTAGATCTAAATTCGTTCAATATTGCGGTGTATCGTCATGCCATATCTAGTTGCTCACGTGCAATATAGTACTATAATAAGGAAATCGAATATCACAGAACATAAAAATAGATCTAGCTAAGAAAGAAATTTTTCTAAATAATTGATTTTTATTTTTTTTACTTTAAAGGGGGGGGGGGGGGA